AAGTAGACTTAGCTACACCACTTGCCCACTGGTCGACCTTCTAGAAGACCTCTGGACCCTACTTCGATTTTTGCCCTACAGGTCTGTGGTTCGAATCCCTTACTTCTCTGGTGCCTACGATGACCTACCTGCAAGTGGCTATCCTACAGGTCACAGGTTCAAGTCCTACAACTACACAGGTATTGTACACAGGTAAGTTGGGGAACTAGGGATCGAGCCCTGGGACCTACATCAGTTACTTCGAACTGGGGAATACCGTTTCAAGACAGAGGATCGTAATTATACCAGCGAAGGAGGCTTTACCATTGCTGTCCTATAAGTACCAATGAGGGACCGTCAACTTGAACTACGCAATGCTCGAGCAGGTGACTGGTTTAATCGTCCATCCCACATCTCTGCCGGCATTGTGCACGGGCCTGGCCATTGTACATGCCTCTGATCACTGGGAGCTGTGGGACAACGGCACCATGGTCGATGCCATGACTGATGTCACTGATCTCTTACAAAATGATGCTGTTTTCTTACCACAACAAACCGTCCGCAATCTCTTTTACATCAAAGATCATTCCTCTGGCCCCGTGCTGCAGCAACACAATGTACCAACACTCTGCAACCTTCTCCTTTGCACAGCCACAAACACTGTTACACTCAGCTGTAGGCGCCATCGTCTCTGTCACAGTCACTACAATGACATGGTTTCTGCATCCATGTGTGCAGAGGACTGTCCCTTCGTTCCTGACTGCAGGTACCCTCCGCATCCGGACACACACTGTCCATTTTGCGGCCATGGGCGCTATGCTGCATGCATGGTCTTTTGTGGTGACCGTTCTTCCTTTATTTCGGCCTGCAATCGACATTCCATTTGTCGGGGGTGTATGGTGGGCATGCTCAATCCCAGCCGTTGTGGCAATTGTTGCAGTGAGAATGCTCAGCTAGGTCTTCCATGTGTTCATCCACCTCATCCTTATAATATGTGTCCTCTCTGTCGTCAAGGACAGACTCATTCTTGAGCCTTTTCTTATCCTCTTTTGCCTTCATCTTCACTCCACACTCCGTACTTTCCCTTACTTTCCCTTTATCGTTCTTTGTTTGTCTGCTCTGCATCCTGTGTTTATCCCCTCCCCGTTCACTCTGCATCTTTCTCACAGTGTACAAGTGGACCGTTATGGTACAGGGGGATGGAGGCAGCTCGCGCTCAACTTCATCACCATGGTGAGCCTTATACGTGAGTCACGGTGAAGGGGGAGTTAAAGAAGAATGAGAAAAATGAATGGTTTCAGTGTGCCGTTCATGTTTGTCTGTTTTTTTTTTTTTCTTTTTTTTTTCTTTTTTTGGTGTTTGTTTCGCAAAGTGTCTCTTTTAGTTCGTAGTTTATGTGACAATATATACTGACGATATGACTATATATACCATGACACCCTGCTACGGTCTTCTCCGGTCAGGCCGAGCGGCAGTGGTCGGGGCTGTCACTACGCGGTCATGCTGTGCCTCTAGTGCCAGCGGCGTGTCTGGAGTGTATTTTTTGGCTGTGACATACCTTTCTTTATTTCGTGGGTGTTTTGCTTGCTTGTGATGGGGTGTAAACCGACAGTCTGTAGAGTTTTCCATCTGGTGTGGGTGAGTGATAGTCTGCTTTGATTTTCGTCACAGGTACCTTGAGGGCAGTGGTTGGTGCCCTCCTCAGGGTATCAGTTGTCGGGCAGTCGTTGATGCTTAACCACAGCCGAGGTTAAGGTGGATTATCACTTTCAGTTAGGGGATTCTGCAGACTGTTGAGGGTTCAGCTTCCTGATGAGTCGGTTAAACTCCGACGAAACGGTCTGTCACAGCCCCTCGTTTGTCGTCCTCTTCTCCCTCTCTGCCTACGGTTTACCAGGCAGCTCTGTTTGACTATATATTTACAAGTAATAATAAATTAATGTATGTCATAGATCAGGTTGCTTGGAAGCAATGTCTGTGGGCAAGCTAACCTGTGTGCAAATGTGGGATTTGATCTGAATCGGGGCATACTCGCACTCGTACTTTCCGAAATGAATCTGACCACAATCACGGCCAGATGTGGATGAATCCGACTGCCATTACCCTCCATCATTCGGATGTTGATTTTATTTCTTTTTCTCTTATTACAAAGTGGTGTGCAATGAGTCGCAAGTCAATCGCCCTGAACCTCGCACACACATGCAACGAGCACCCAGACGAGTGTTCACACTTGAAACCGATAGCCAAGACACAAGAATCACACAAGAGATTGATACGCAAGATATCTTTATTATACAAAGAAAGAGTTCATGTCTCCTGCGGTCTCCGCCGCTCACACAGTCTCAGACTCGAACCAGGTATGCGACCGTCTCTCTCTCTCTCTCTCTCTCTCTCTCTCTCTCTCTCTCGCGCGCGCGCGGTACTTGTATCACTCAACCTCACAGTCTCCCTCTCTCCCTTGGACCGTGCCCTTAATACACCCGCTCAGATCAGACTCCAACCTTGGCGGCTATGACCACCCTGCTTTCCTATCACTACCCTAGTTATGGTTGTCGTCGGCGCTCCCTTCTTCTTCGAGTGTTGTCTTGCCCAAGTCGTTTCGTCACACAAGCAGCAGCAGTGCTTCCGCAACTTCAAGAACGAACAACTGCGTCTGCTGCTCCACTGTGGCAGCTAGGTGTAGGAATTGCACTTGGCTTGGCCTGCCTCAGACCGGTACCGGTCAGTCGTGGCCTGTCTGTTGCAATGATTTTCTCGGTCCGGAAGCTTCCTGGACTTTCCCTGGGACTTGCTGCAATTTGTGTACTTGGGGACTGGACTTGGACTTTCCGGACCCTTCTGTGGGGTACCGGACTGGCTATACAACGAGTCATCCTTCCAGAGATTTTTTGTTGAGTACCGGACAGGCTGTACCAGGACTTGACTTTTCCGGATGTTTCCTGACTTAGGCCTACGGCGCTTCAACTGGCCTATCGAACCTACCCCACTTTACGCTGGGACTTGGGACTTAGGAACCTTCTGGACTTTGGGGGTTTGGTGCCGGCTTTCAGGGGTCTGCAGCATGAAAACTTTTCAGGTGTTTGTTTTCTTTTTTTGTTTTCTCTTTTTTTTTGTTCATTTCTAGGCTCAAAATATAATAATATATATATTATTAATTTATTATTGAATTTATTTTTTATTTTAAATTTGGCAAGGAATTTAAATGTGACGCTGAGGCAAAAGTTGTCCAGTTTATTTTTCTGCGTAACATATTTTTTTCGGTTTTTTTTTGTGTGTGTTTTCGTTTTGTTTTTTTTTTTGCTCATTTTCTTCATTTTCTTCTTCTTCTTTTTTTAATGTTGATGTTGGTGTTGTTTTCAACTTCAGTCCTTGACATATTTCAGGCTGTTGTTTGTTGTGTTGTCAGGTATCTGGACAACAATCAACTGACGGCTCCAATGCCTTTGGGTCTTCAGAAGCGTATTCTCAGTGGAATGTTGGATTTCACGTGAGCTTGCGTTACCTTAGTTGCCTCTCACTTACCCTTGTGTTTCCCACCCATGGCATGGCCCCACTTTCCTGGATTCTTCCTGGCCGCTGATCTTTGTGAGCGACGGACGGAAATGAAGAATCTAGGAAAATTGCATACTGTTCTTCCCTCCCCAATCTTCCTTTTCCTCCTCCCTTTGGTTCTTCCTTCCTACTGCTTTTCCCTACTCCTCTCTCATTCTCCTCGTCCTCGACCTTCTCCTTGTCCTCGTCCTCCTCCTCCTCCTCCTCCTGCCTCGTCCTCCTCCTCCTTGTCCTCCTTTTCTTCTTTTTGTCCTTCTCCTTGTCCTCGCTCGTTCTCTCTTGTCCTCCCTTCCCCTCCCTCACCCTCCCTCATCCTTGTCCTTGTCCACCTGATACTACTCCTACTGCTCCTCCTCCTCCTCCTCCGTCGTCCTCTCTGTCCTCATCTTCCTCGTCATTTGTCCTCCTCCTCCTTGTCCTCATCGTCCTCCTCCTCCCGTCCTCATTGTCCTCCTTGGCCTACCCAATCCTCCTCCCCCCTCCTCCTCCTCCTCCTCCTTCGCCTCCTCGTCCTTGCTCCTCCTTTCCTGCTCCCTTCGCCCCTCCCCCCCGCCTCCCCTTGTCCTCCTCCACTAACGTAGAATATTCTTCCATGGGTTTTGCTCTTTTTTTTTTAGGGGAGTATGCAAATATGATATTAATGAGTAGTTTATATGCTAATATGATATTAATGAGTAGTTTATGTACTCTTTTATTTTTGGGTGGTTGGTTAGCCATCTTGATTATGGCTATTCTTTATTGGATTCCGGGCTCGATATGGTTCAGTATAAAGGTCGAAGGCTTTCTGTTTTGATATATTTGGGTTCGTGCAGCATTTCCACGATATCGTTATGATCAATTAATGAGACTTGGCTGGAAAGTCTTCTTGCCTTTATCATTAGCATGGGTAGTTTTTGTATCTGGTGTCTCCAGCTTGTAGACTTCTGATTGGCCGCGTTTTTTTTGTGTTTTTTTTTTTAATTACTAAATTAGTAAATTATTAACTGGAAGGATAAGGTCATAAGGCTGTAT